TCTCAGAGAGGCACTTTCAAGAGATCCGTACTAAAGGGACATTATACCGATAATCCATCTCAGTTCCATCTTTTCTAAACTTTATGTTCACAGGATTCTCCATTAAAGGATTTATTGTACTGTGAGATTTTTGATGTGGGTTTTGTGGTCACGAAAGTCAATTTGATAATTACATCACTGGAGGTGCATTTGCAGCTATTGTTGTAAATGCAAAATTAAAGAAAAAATAATCATTGGTAAGAATGGGAGGTAATAAAATTCCAATCTGCTTTTCTCACAGTTTCCAAAAGCAGTGCCTCGGTGCAATGTATTATATGGAGACAGTCCAAGTTGAGCGTAGATTCCCCAAAGACACCTGAAAGTTTTTCATTTTGAAGAAAAGTGGCTGTACTTGTGTTCAGCTTTATCGCTAAAATGCATTGAGCTTGTGCCCACCACCTAACAAATGTGTTTAATGCTTAAATTAGTTTGTTCATTTTTAGAGGTTTAGAAAAAGGAATATAATATCTGAAATATTTCTCTACATTGCCATCAGCGGTCAAACAAAACTCCACAGGGTACTGTTAAGTAATTTTAAAAAAAGAAAAAAAAAAAAAGAGCAGTATTGATTCACAGAATAGATTATTTATTCAGTCAGTCATATTTCATATTTTCTGTTTTTCTAGTTCAGGGTCACGGGCTAGGGCCTATTCCAGCATGCACCGGGCACAAGGCAAGCAAACACAGTGGCTGCGCATGCTGAGAGAAACCAGGTAGCACACTTGCACACTTGGCAACATGCAAACTCCAAACAGAGACACCTGGCTTGAAATTGAGGTTTTTATAGCCATTGTGCCACTGTTCTGCCAAAGAAGTTACATCAGTGCCACGCTGTCACATTAGAAGAATGCAAAAGCAGGTTTTTGATGCTAAAATTATGCTGCACCCATCTACTGCTATCCTCTGGTGGACTTCTTCTTGGCTCACTCAAAATCATTTATCAAAAGTTGAATATGCCCTCGAGTGATGTTACAAATGTTGTTGGACTGATTTCTTGCATTTTCAGAGGGCTGAAGAGGCAAAGTTGTCAATAAAAATATGAGATAAACTGAAAAAAAATATATAGATGATGTGCTCTTCTACTTTCCTAAACTGTTTATTAGATTTGTGGTCAGTCAGATTTATCTTGTGGTTCCTATTCGGACTGATTGGACCTCTGCTCAGTGGAAAGCTGGGTGCTGTCATATTGAGAATTATTTATCAGCAAAGTCCTTGCACTGATAAAAAAAAAAAAAATGGCCGTAGCATGCGGTGTTCAAGACATCAGTCGTGTAGAAAAAATCAGGAGGGTGTTTAGCCTGGTCTGTGCATGCCCACACACTCCTGCAAAGGGCATCAGCCATGCACAAGTAAAAATAACTATAGAGAGGATGCAGGGACTTTAATAACTAAATGTTGCTCAATATAATGTCAGATCAAATTAATTTAGGGGGATTTAAGAGTCCTGTGTTGACACTGATAATAGTCTCGCTTTGTATTTGATTATATGTGAATAAATACACTACATGCTATTGCTTTAAAAAATCTCCTGCAATATGATACTTGTGACATCTATTTACTGCAATATTTCAGTAATATTCCTGGTGGGAGAACTAAATTGTCTATTGGACTTAAGAGTGCTGTTATGATGGTGCAGTTTCATTGAATTTCATGGGTTTCTAAGGCTTTAATGTTTAATATAAATCACCTATAGGGTTACTATAGGATATTGATATATCTTAGGTTGCATTTTTCCCGGTCTGGTTTCATAGTCATAAAAAAATGTAACACGGTAGCAAATGGCACATACAACGATCCTGATTCACTTTTGCAGTGGATGGCATTTATCACAGCCACATACCTTGTACGCTTTGTGTGACTTTCACAACCTGACAAACCCAATAAGCCCCTGGCCGCTCTCCCTACTGCCTAATGGCCTACTCTAATGGCTGTTTGTCTTGTTTCATGGTAATTGGGGGGCCACTGACTCCGCAGCAAAGTCTCTTGCTCTGCTTTTCCTACTGAGATTCTTCTGCTGGCCCCCTCTGGGTCCTTCTGCTTTGTAGGTACCAGTTTCTGCTCTAATGATATCATAATTGCTGTTTTCTCACACAGTGGACATTGGTTGCCGAGCCTGAAGGTGGCCCAACAAATGAGCCGGAGATCAAACCATGACGACACAGTGTAGATGGCGAAAAAAAAAAAACCCACTGTCATCAAAGCATAGTGTATTGCAGTATCTTTTGGATGCTGTTATTTCTCCCTCATTATTTTCCTACCTGCCGAACCACCTGGTTACCCACAATACATCATTAGTGGTGGAAAATGCAAATGAACCTTCACTATGTCAATCAATGTGGACACCGCACGCGTGCCCTTGAAAAGTGCGTAAGAAGCTGAAATATTAGCGATCGACGGCAAGAGCCTGAGGTGCAGATATATACATACACGCGTGTTTTGGCCTTAGCTAACAATATTTTTCAGATTTTACACATCATTCTTGCAAGGTCTGTTTCTACAATTCATAAAGACCAGCTCCACTCCCCTCCACACACTCACTGGAGTGAGATAGTGCAGCGCTGCTTGAACAATCATTTCTCAGTCCAGCTGAATTCATGCTGACGCTCCAGTTTGCTCAGTTTGCTTTCTGAAAACTCCCCTCTTCCTCTTTTTAATCCTCTGAGGGGAAGCGGAGAGAGAAAGAAGGAGAGACCAGCATTGAATGCTGACAGGGACATAACTTGCCTTCCCTGCATACCTTGTTTACAGTCTCCCTCTCTGCTGCTATACGCTCCTCTCTCAATGGAGCCATAAAAAACAAATAGGGGCTTTTAGAGAAATTGCCTGTGCACTGAAGATTAATAACAGTTGCACAAGTTCACCCAAGAAAGTCTCCAGAGGCAAAAACGATATTGGAAGATTAAAAGTGCCACATCCCTAAATTGGAATGATTCAGTGCTCAGGCCGCTCTCTAACCAGCTTATTGAGAGGCAGGGCCTTGGTCTAAATGCCAGACAAAGAGCATCATTAAGTATTTACTTCTGGATGAGGGTCCACTGCATAAGTATAATGATGAGCCGAGAGTGTGATTGATCCTCTGTGTCTGTGATGGAAGTGGCCCGGGAGCTGCTGCAGAAGGAAAAAGACAGCGTGAGGTTAGGTCATCTTTTCACTGTTGTAGCCCATTAGTTTAAATGAAGTAAGGAGAGCACCCGTTTGACCCACTGCTATCATTGAACCAAAGAGTAAAATGCAGTGCAAATCTTTCGGCAGGCTATTCGAGTTACATTATAGCAGCTTGCAAATGATAAAGACTGGACGACTCCAACCTCATGATAATAAGAAAATTAGGTATCAGAAACATCAACCCAACAGACAGGGAATGTGCCCACGACGTTGACTAACATTATCTACAAGTTCTGATAATGTTTTAAAGAAAACATTTCAATATAATGTTTTTAAAAAAATTCAAAATCTCATTTTCAATAATGTTGAACTGGACCATTCAGAGGATGTTTGGAAAATTACAAAAGCAGAATGTTCTACAGCCAACATTCTGAAAACGTTTTCAAGATGTGAACAGTACGTTTCTGTCATGTGACATATTCATAGTGGTAGAACACTATGTCTGCAATATTCTCAGAATGTTTAGTCAGTGTTGAAGGAACCCACTACAGAACATTCTGCCATTAAACGTTCCCACAATGTCACATGACAACAATGTTCTCAATGCAACATACAGAAAATGTTTTAAGAACAACATTTCGAAAATGTCATATTCAAATTTAATCTTAAACCTTCAGATGAACATTTTGGGAACATTGAATACACTTCTTGCTAAAAACATTACTAGAACATTTCAGAACACTCTCAGAACATTTTTTGAACAAAACTGTTTTAGCTAGAATATAAAAATAAAAATTTGAGTGGGAGGTTCTCACTAGGTTCTTCTTAAATGTGGAGCAACCACAAACATTCTAACAATGTTTTGTCATAACACTGCCAAACTGTTATGTGCTATCATTCTTAAAAATAAAAGAAAAAAAGAAAAAGGTTTTTTGAAAGTTTTTTTCTAATGTAGCATTGTGGAAGGCAAACAAAAATGTTCTCCAGAACAATGTTCTGCAATATGTTACCTTAACAATAGCAGGCATAATGTTCCACCTTTGTTAATGCATCACATCAAAGGAGCATTTTATTTATTTATTTATTTATTTATTTATCATCTGAGGCCTCAACAACATGTTGAAAACATTTTTTGAATGTTGCTTTAAAAATCTTCTTCCATTGTTTTCATATAACATGATTTGTTCTCCAAACGTCCTCTGAAGGTTGCACCTAAAACGTTTGATCTTGTCTTTAAATTTTTAACCTTGCAGAAACATGATTTGAAAAGATAATCATCCCTAAAACGTTCTTTGAACAATAAATTAAAACTTTAAAACATTTTTTAAACTTGTAGGTGATATCAGCCAGTGTTATGGGAACATTACCTGGTAGCTGGAAGTCCGAAGGAAAAAAAGACATCACAAAAGAAAACACAAATGAAAGAATAACTAGGCTATAATAATACAATATTTCTGACACTGAGTAAGTGTTTGGCTGTAAAATCTTTACAATAACTTGATATATTACTATATTCTAAAAAGAATGAAACGAAAACAAAAAGTACAGCCCATTTAATGCTTCTTTATATTATTATTATTATTATTATTATTATTATTATTATTATTGGTGAACACTCCTCCACTGGCTAACACTCACGACACTTTGATCTACGTATTTTCAGCAGTGGCCTGGAGTTGCTATGGCAACACGTCTCCGCAGCAACCAGACCAAAGCGTCTCCGAAGTTGCATAGCAACCACTACAAAAAAACCAACGGGCGTCAAGTTCTTTTTTTTTTTAAGGAGCAAATATTAATTTGTCAAAGCAACATTTATTTTGTCGCTCGACTCAGTTCAGACGACGGCAGCTGTCGTAATGTCGACGAAGAAGACGGAGATAAAAGCTGAAGGCTTCACCACGAGGGCCACCTTGAAGAACGCCGTGGTGAGTGAAGTTAGTGGACGTTAGCTTCGGCTAGCGTGTGTAGCATCACATTTGTAGTCTGCAGCGTGTGACAGAGGGAGGCTGAGTTGTGCTTTGTGCGGTCCATGCACACTGACAGCTCTGGACGTTATCAAGATGAAGTAACAATTGATGGAGGAAACAAAAAAAAAGAATAAAAAAGAGGGCGGCAGAGAGAGGGCAGAGTTTTATGTGCTGCTTTAAAAAAAAAAAAAAAAAAAGAATAAAAAAGAGGGCGGCAGAGAGAGGGCAGAGTTTTATGTGCTGCTTTAAACGATCATCTTACCCTTTCTCTTCCTCTCTGTGTTGTTCTCCCTCTCTTGCTATTCATGAGAAGTTATTATTTTCTGCTCTATGTGCAGAGCAAAAAAAAATAAAAAAATCTCAAAGCACGAAATAGCCCAGAGTGATGGGGAAGCAAAAAGGGAGAAAGCCTGAATATTCTCTTTTTCCTGCCATCATTCAGCTCTGCCTTTCCTCTATGGGTGTGTGTGACTCCTGTTGGTCAGACAAGCCTGAGTGGGTTTCACACAAGTACAGAGATTTGAGAACTCTAAAATTATCCAATAACTTTTATGGGCTAAATGACTCTTTAAAATCCCATTCCAAAGCTATAACGCAATGATTAGACACTATGAAACCAGGAACCATGTGCTGAGAAAAATGCCAATGCTGTTTTTTTATAATGGCATTTGCGTTTTATAGACTAACATGCTTGTGTGGAGCACTAGATTCCAGTATTTATACCATTTAAAAAAAAAATCTTATAGCTTTGTATTTGCATTGTACCCGTGCCTTACTTCTTACTTCTTACTTCTCCTGGATTATGGTTTTCTTTGCTAAGAAATGACAGTCTTGGACCTCTGGTGTAGTTAAACTGTGTTGAAAGAGCTGACTAATTTCCAAAGACAGTCCTCTCATTTACCCCAAATGAAGATGGATCAGGCACGTGTAATAAGTTGTACAGCAACAGACATTAGTCTTTATTGACTTCATGGACTTTATTGATTGGTCAGTAAAACCAGCTTTTCTTCCTGGCCAAAAAAATAGATTACTATTAGAAATGTGCACTAATTATGTCTGTGTTGGTCTTCGGTTTCTGCCTTTTAATTTATCAGAGAAAGATGATTCTCTAATTTTGTTGTCATTGTTGTCCACGGTTTAGTAAGCATAATTGCGGAATGCACTGAAATTTGCTGGACCAGCAGCTTTAAATATAATCTTGTGGAAATAGGATGATGTGTGAAACTGGCTTTTGCCACCAAAGGCCACTGAGAGATGTACATGCATCCCGCTGTGCTCTGGCAGGCCATGGGAAGCGCTAAGGTGATAGACTGTAAGCTGCTGAAGAAAACAAGCCTTCCGGCAGCGCATTTCACAGGCATCCTTTCTTTTGGCATGCATAAACTTGAGCTAATCAGTGCTTGTGCGAGGTTGTGCAAAAGTGAAATACGCATCACACTGTTTGAACACTGAAACTTGTGTCGATTATAGCCTTTGTCTGCTGTCAACGTTGCGCTGTGCAAGTTTGACTACTTTTGCATGAATAAGTTACAAGACTGTCAGAGTTACTCGATATTGAAACATTTTTCACCAGTTGTTCACTTTTTGTCATCAGAACACTGGAAAACTACAGTTATACATTTTTATGAGCAGCCTTTTGATTGATTTTGCATTTTGCTCTGCTTTGGAAGGCTGCAGAGTCATACTGAGAACATATTCTGAGATGTTTCACATATTATTTGTTCTTGCTTAATTCTTACCAGGAATCTTTTCACACAGGCATTAGTGTAATAGTCATATTTCCTCAATGTAACTTAACTTAGGGATGCAGCTAATAGTTATTTTCATTGCTGATTACTTTTTCAATTAAACAGCTAGTCTAGTCTCTAAAATCTCAGAATATGCTGAAAATTAACAATCAGCCCATGATGATATCTTAACATGTCTTGTTTTGTCCACAACCCAAATATATTTAGTTTACTATCACAGAAGAGAAAAGAAACCTGAAAATATTCGCATCTAAGAAACTGGAATCACAGATTTCTTTTTCAGACAAACCACTCATTTTGATATCTGATAGCTAATCAATCAATGGTTGCAGCTCTAGCTTAGATGGACATGTTGCTGCTTTCTTTTGCTCAGTTTAATAACAGTTGCACCAGTTCACCCAGTAAAAAATCTCCAGAGGCGAGGACAATATTTGAAAATTAAAGGTGCCACATGCTTGCATTGGAATGATTCGGTGCTTGGGACGCTCTCTAAACCAGCTCATTGAGAGTCAAGGCTTTGGTCCACCTGCCAGACAAAGAGCTTCATTAAGTATTTACTTCTGGATGAGGATCCACTGCACTATAATGATGAGCTGAGGCTGTGATCGATTCTCTGTGTCTGTGATGGAAGCGTGGCGGCCTGGGAGTTGCGGCAAAGCACAGAAACAGACAGGTCATCCCATGTGAAGCTGGGCCATCTTTTTATTATTTGTAGCCCATTTGTTGTAACAGATCACACGAACGTTTATTCGCGAGCTGGTTCAGTTATAGCTGTTTCATCATCAGAAGTGCCTTGGTGTTTCAGTTTGTGTGAAAGGAGAGATTTTTGCTTTTAATTCTCACTTGGCAGTTTTACACAGAGGCAATGGTGAGCAACAAAACATGTCAGACACAGTCATATTGCTTAAATTGGCAGTTTGAGGGTTTCTTTTGCTCTTACGTGCCTCTTCTCTCAGGCAATTATCATGAATCTATTTGTAGAGACAACGCCAAGCTCTTTATTAGAATTGACTTCTTTAAGTGAATACATGAAGACAGATAGCTTACAGTACATTTTAATTTTTGCAAGTATTTCAACTCTGCTGTTGTGCTTAGTCAGGGATGTGGTCAACACTTCTGTTCATTCAGGAGATTCTAAAAATACCTTTTCTTTTTTAACTTATGTTTTGATTTGTGTTTGTTTTGATGCTGACAGCTTGGAGTTGGTTCATGGTGAAACGAGAGCACCGCATCAGAAGTTGAGGCATCCGTGGTCAGCAATAATTTAATGAATGAATCTGAGTGTCAGTTTAATAATTTCTGTCAGCAGTCCCCCTGGCTCCCGCTTTCATATCTTCTATTTTTCTAAAAATGTTGACTGTCTTGGCTTTGGTGCCTTGATGCAAACAATATAACTAGGTCTTCCTTCCTGAGCCAATATGTTTTTTTTGTTTTGTTTTTCAAGACAGCTAATGCCTTGTTACGTTCACACTGCACTTAAAAGAACTGGGCCTATGTGATGAATGCAAGAGGAAGAGCTGCACAGTTCTGGTGACAACAGTAAATACTTGAAATTGAAACTGCAGCAGCCTTTTTTTTTCTTTGCCAGAGACTGCCTTGAGATGCAAAAGAGGCAGTCAGAGCTATCATTGACTTCCTCCTCCTTTTTTGAAGGTCATAAACAAATCTCCTGTCAAGAGCTTTCATGAGGAAGGCTCCTGCAAAGCCCTTTAATATTCACCATCTCCCCAGAGAATCTGCTGTGTCTGGAACATGAATGATACTTGCACACTGCCATACCACTGGCTAAATCCTCAACAAAAACCATTACATTTTTCAGAGGGTTGCTTGTGTCTGTTGCCTTCTGTTTTTTCCTCTCCTCCCCTGTGGTCACTGACATATCACTCCAGAGAGGGCGGCTTTGCGGAGAGCTGTGATTTGTAGGTAACGGCAAGGCCATTTCAAGTCTTGAAAGGGTATAGGGACTTGAAGCATAGGCTTATTATGCTTTAAAGTATTTGTGGTCATAGAAATTGAATCAATAGCACAGGCCCCTGAAACTACCCCCCTCTTTTTTCCCTTTTCTTTTTTCTTGTGATTCATCCTGAAGCATTTAAAGAGAGAAAAAAAGATGCACTTTACATTCTGGTGGGAGGTCGTCACCTTGTGTTTCATACAGAGAGGTGAACAAGACCGTTATTTTTCTGTGTCAGAGACTAGGTGACAAAGAAAAAAAAGAAAGGACAGGTTTGGGGGTGAGAGCGCAAACACCTGCACAGTGCTGTGATATGACATGAATACACGCTATGCATGTGAGCACCATAGTACACAAAATAAAGAAAAAGAAAAGTCTTTGAGTTTAGCAAGTCGTATGGGTGAAACTGTTTTTAGAGTATTATCAATTAGAAATATTTTTTGGCAAATCATGCAAATTAATTATTTTTTAAGTTAATTATGCCACTTTATAGACTACTTGCCCAATCTAATATATCTAATATCAAATCTAATATGTCTTTAAGCAGACCTGAGGCCTGTATTGTGAAGCAGGATTAGAGGTTATCAGGATAACTTTAGGTTTAACTCTGGGTTTCCAAGACTATGTCAGTGATTCACTTCGCACCTCACCATAGTAACTTTTGGGAAATGTCTAACTTGCTCCAGAGCAGGTTATAAATGAGATACTAGATCCATGCACATTAAAACACTGCCTACTGTCCAATCAGTTCTGTTGGAAAAAAGCATCACCATTTCTTGAAGATCACACAAAGCTTGTTGCAGATAAGGTTTTTTTTTTCAAAGCCATTTCATTGTTCGTTATGTCCTTTCTTTTCCATTTAAAACCACCAGTATCGCAACTGAAAGAATAAGACTCTTATATGCCAGAAGAAAACACCTAATCTATGCATTCATTTAATACAAAAAGCAATTGTAATTATAGTCGGATGTACTCATGCCCTCATAATTTGGTAGTGATATTGATAAGACTGTCAACTTAAGCATTCACACAGTCTGTGGTTATTTGCTGGCTTTCCTTCTTGCTTTACCTGCTTCGGCTCTGTTGCTTTTAATGCATATGATGTGATTTAAAATCTTCCCATGTCTCTAATACTACAGTTTGTTCTTACTTTGTAAAATATTCCAGTGTGGTGCCAGTAGACCCATCTATGTTTGTAATTAGTCATCTGTTGCCAGCATCGCCTCTTTCATGTCAAAGCGCTCATAAACGCTGAG